ACCCCTCTGTACAGTATTTTCACAAAATATTAATTAATTAATTAATTTTTAAAAAAGGAAACGTAAAAAATTTTTTTGCGTCTTAGTAAACAGGGTATTTTTAATATAAAAGTATTTCAGATTTAAGGTAAGTATTTTTGTTTGGCTGTCAAATGAACTCATATCCTTTTTTTTTTTAGGAAAATATATAACCTTTGTTCTGGACCCTTTCCAGTACCAGTTATTATTGAAATATCACAGACAACTAAGCTTTCAAATATTTGGTAGAAAATTAGCAGCAAAAGCATTTTCTGTCAAGAAGTTGCTAGAAAATGATGACCTTAACCATGACCTTCATGGTGTCTATCAATATTTGCAAGGCAAACCTTTGGAAACACTCTTGGAAAATATACTCCAGAATGCAAAACAAATTGTTGATATACAATTAGGAGAAAGCAAAAATTGGAACACAACTCAAATATTAACATTCTGCAGGTCAGTAATATTTGAGCTCACATTTGCAACCATATATGGAAAAATTCTTGCTGATGATAGCAAAAAAATAATCAGTGAGCTAAGAGACGATTTTGTAAACTTTGATGACAAGTTCTTATACATAACATCGGACATACCCATTGAGCTTATAGGAAATGCTAAATCTATGCAGAAGAAACTTATACAATTTTTTAGCTTGGAGAAATTAACTCACATACAAGGATGGTCAGAAATTGTTCAACAGAGGCAAAATATCCTGGAGAAATACTATAATCTTGAGGACACTGAAATAGGAGGTAAGGAACTTCTGAATGATTACTTGCCTTAAATAAAATAATTTACAGTACACCTTTGAAATAAAAAGATAAGATGGCGACCTTGAAAATTTTTATGCTCTTTCTAATTGGCTAATGGTAAAATGTTTTACTCTGAAACAACCCTCTATGATAATTGATTTTTTTTTTTGCTGAGGTGGTAAAACAAGATACTTAATGACGATAATGAGAAAGAGTATAACTAAGCTGCATTTACTCCTCTTATCTCATCCCCCACCTTCTTGCCCCCTCCACACACACATTACATTTTAAACTATTCTCATTAAGCAGAAAATTAGACTTCAGAAGCCTATTGGTTCTCATTAGCATGCACTGATCCTTGGCTGGGTCTGTGTCCTAACATCTTTTAATTAGCACACTGCAAATCTAATCAGTGTAATAAACGCTATTAATCTTCCTTTTCACTTATTTTCTCCCAGCACATCATTTTGCCTTTCTCTGGGCCTCTGTGGCAAACACTATTCCAGCTATGTTCTGGGCAATGTATTATCTTCTCCGGCACCCAGAAGCTATGGAAGCACTGCGTGATGAAATTGACCATTTTCTGCAGTCAACAGGTCAAAAGAAAGGGTCTGGATTTTCCATCCACCTCAACAGAGAACAATTGGACAGCCTGGTATACCTAGGTAATTTATTTTTATCTGTTATGAAGAAAAGAAGGTACCTCTCTACAAACTCAGTTTATCACTCATAGCTGTTTACCAAGAGGTGGAGGACACAGCTGCCTAATTGACATAATAACACCCATTTACATCAATTATAAATTATGTAGTTTATAGCTGTAGATACACTCATTGCATGTAAACATTAAGTCCTAGGTAATTAACTATGCGAGGTATGCAAAAGGCTAAACCAAAGCTCTGCAATTATTTGGGGGAAAAAAAGTTTATGCCTATTAAGTCATTTGATTCTGAGCATCTGTTAGTGTGCTAATGCTTTCCAAACACTGCGGTACTATCTTGACAAGAAAAGGATTTTGTGATTGAAAAAGAATTTCAGAGAGGCAACTTGTGTGCAAATGTATTTATTCTTCCTTACAGTGTTGTCAGTATATGGTTGGTTCTCAAAACTATTGCAAAAATCCTTTACTAGAATTTAATGATTTAAAAACACAAAAAAGAAGGAAATATGAAAAGAAGAAAGGAGGGAAGCGAAAAAAAGCACATCCCAAAGACTCCATCTAAAGCAGTTATATTTTATAACATTAGCTCACTATTGAGATGTTTATGGTGCCTATTTCAAAGACATTTGAGGTCTGTAGGACAAGTATTTCATTTTTTGCCATTGTTCCTACATAGGCCTAGACATGTATGACATGAGCTGTGATTACTGTGGACTTTATTCTCCTTTACCACCTTTGAGAAGACTCTTTAATCTTGTACTGAATTTATATTCCCAGTTAAATTCCCCATCAGTGAGTTTTTCTGTGCTTTCTCTGACTTAATATTTCATTCAAGGATACTTTTCACAAAATTCCAAGTTCCTTTGGAGAAATGCAGGAAGAATGCTTATTTATCTCCCTTTTTTCAGACATTGTAGATACTAATATTTTAGCCTATGTTGGCCTTCATTTTTTATTTTTTCAATGCATTCTGGTTTCTTCACTGGCAACTTCTAAAAGCAAAGGCTCTCTCTATCTTGGTCACCCTTTACCACCAGTTGGCATTGAGAAGAATGTTCCAAGTATTACACAAGTTGCTCCCACTGGTCAGACTAAGACTCATTAGTGTCAGAGGCAATGGCAAAAATGTGCCTTGATCATTAAATAAACATGTGTCACCTTGTAGTTTACTGTGTTTGACATATTTTAGCAAAGGAACTTGGATCAAGAATTAAAATAATTTGAATATTATTAAAATCCAAATATTTATTTTTCTTTGCAGAATTGTTAAGGAACAAATATTCAAAACTTATGTAAAATCTGGGTAGTTGCCTCCCCTCGGATATATAGTACTTTTCTGGAAAGAATATTTACAGTCTCTATGAAGATACAGGCTGAATTCTCTATATAATCATGCACTTTCCATTGTATTTTCTTAATTAGATGATATATACCAGGATGTAATACAAGTAATCTTTAAGAAATATGTCTTTGTATTCTGTTCATAAGTATTACTGTGAAAACTTTAGTTGAAATTTATCAATTCTTTTTTTCTTCTCCCAGCTCTTGTCATGGAAACAAAAGATTATTTTTCAATAATCTTTTAAAACAGAAGCATCTGAATTAATTTGATCAAAAGAAATAGCAAACTGTAGAGCTAATAATTTGGGTCTGTTTGAATCCATAGTCATCTTTTCAGATGATCATTCCTGTAGCTCTCATATATTTACAGCTTTGCTGTCACCAACCAACGAGTAACAGAGCAACAAAAATCTCTTGTGAGCTGAGATCCACCTAGACAAAGGGTAGTCAGCACTCAGTAGTAGCCAGCAAGGTTCATCATGACCTCTGTCACCAGCAGAGGCCAGTGTTGTTTATTAAGAGAATTGAAATGATGGAGCTGATGATCTTTCAGGATATATATATATATATATTCATCTGCTAGAAAGTTTAATCAGATTGGAGTACATTTTTATGAATCACACAACAGATAAACTATGCACTTAGTAATAGTACAAACATGAATATTTCTCTGTGTTGAAGGAACCTACACTGTACAAAGGCAAAAGTCATGCAACTAGATATTCACAATGTACCACATGATATGTACGTGTCTTCTCATCCCCTTAAGGGAAGAGTTGAATGTGTTTTAAATACAGTCTCTTTTTTAAAAAGTGGGTTGTGAGCCTTTATCATTATGAGAGAAACTATTACAATGATAAAATGAATGCTGCATTTTTTTAACTAGGAAGAGATTTTTTATGTTGATATAGTACAAGAGATTCTTCTTTATGCAGAGATTTGCGTGCCAGCACACTGATGAAGCAGTACTGAAAAGGGAGTGGGGATGTCATCGTCTGTTAAACTAATTCAAAACTATCATTTGTTGCAAGAGGTTATGAGAGCTTTCTGCTTTTATCACTCTTGAGAATCTCTCTTTAAAACCAGTCTACTCTTACCTTTCAAACAAAGAAAACATAGGGTTTTTTTTTTTTGGTAATTTATGTGTCTTGCTAAGTGAAGATTCTGTTTATCATGACTCCATTAAAATGATCTATTAATGTTTAGTGCAGATCTCTGTGGTTAAATTTAAATTTATATGATTTAATAAGTGTAATGAGGTTTGGATTAATTGTTACTTAGGGCTAAAAATCCAAATAGGAAAAGATTTTAGAAAGGAAGCTTGAGAACTTAAGAGAAAAGTTTTTTTAATATCAATTTTTCTAGCAATAAAAGCTGGAATGAAGGCATGATTTAGAACTTTGGATTTCAAATATGGGTCAAAGAAAAAGAAAAGAGACACAGAGAGATGAAGATAAGCTAAATGTTGATACAGGAACAATGTTCTACAATAGAAATTCTGATAAATTGGTAGCTAATAATTTTAATGTCTCCTACTTCTTATAGGATACCCGATAAAGGTATGTAAACAACATGATAGTACAGGGTAGCGAGTCAGTAAAAGTTTTCTCCAAAATGACATTTAACCTGTATGAAACCCCTGAAAAGTCCATATTATTTTCTTCCTTTTTGATTTTTTTGTGAACCAAACCAGCGTCATATTCAAATCTACCTTGTCCACAAAGGTAATCTTGCATTGTTAGAGAAAAGATCATACAATTTTAATAAAAACATAAGGGAAAATGAATCATAACTCCTGAACAGCTGAGGTAAATTCCAGTCATCTATTTGTTTTCAATGGCATATTCTGAATTTGACCCAATTCTCATGCAGATATTGGAGTAAAACAGAGGAATGGTAAAATATGACTTTCTATGAATAATTTCAGTATTTCAAAGCAGCTTCATCACTTACTTCATGGGTTAATTACTTACATTCTCTGAGCAAGTGTTTCTGCTATTATTTTATCACTGTTTCTACAGATAAGAAAATGAGTAGGATGTTAAATCACTTGCCTAAGGGTATGGAAGTAGTAAAAGGGGAGAGGCACAAATTTTCACTCAGGTTTTCTGACCACAGCCACATCTTTCTCCTCACACCTATCTGACCCCAAACCTCTTGGTCATCTTTTTTTCCTTGCCCCAACTGAAAGTGAAGAGAACTTTCTATTTTGATTCAGTAAAGCCAGCCATGATGTGCACCAGGACAATGCCAGGAAATAGGAGCTATATCAAGATAAGTTATCTGAGTTTACTAACTTCCGGATAAGATATTATGGATAATCATGTTTGTGTTTGTTTTACTTCATTTTTACTCTGCTGGGGATTGAATGCAGTGGCTCACATATATTTGGAAAGCATTCTATTGCTGAACTACAGCCTAGCCTAATACTAGCACCAATGATTTCACTTTAGTAAGTCCTTTATATATCTTAGCTTACTTAACTTTTCAAGTATGAGTATTTTTTCCTAATCCTTGGAAAGATTAGGTAATCAATCCTAATCATACAATTAAATAGCAAACTTAAAAGTTAATGTGGAGCCTGCCTGTTTTCATTGCCGTACACCGATCACTAGCACCTCCGGCAAAATTGCAATAAAATATGCATCAGAGAGCATGACCAGTTCTTTTTACTAGATGTTTTTTTTTAACACTGATTCTCAAATCCTTAGAATATGTGGTTAAGATAAAGCTAGAGTTCCACACTAGAACTTCGCTGATGTTTGTTAAAATAAAAATAAGGCTTTCACTTTAGAATAGTTTGATACTTACAGAAAAAATACGAAGACAGTAGAGTCCCCTTGTGTCCCTCCCACCTCAAAAATTTCATATATTTCTGCCATTCTATATTTCTGTGACATGTTTGTCATGATTATGGCAATTATTTTGGAAAAGTAATCATTCAATATTATAAATAATTGTGTATTTGTAAACATGATAACTTAAATAATTCAGATCATTGTGAAGTTAGCTAAAGTCCTCTCTCCTGATGAGGTAATAGATGAATCATAAATTATATTGTGGGTAGGGACATTTTTTTTAATGTATACTAAGGATAGAACCCAGGTTCCTAAATATGTTGGACCAGCATCCTCCCACCAACTCTCAGCCCTAACCATGTATAAGGGAGGCCCTTCTAACTGGAGATGGAGGAAAAAAAGTATCTTTCACCAAAGAGTACATCAGAAACCTGCACATGGAGGCACTGAGACATTTATGTTATACAAAAAAATAGAAGTTGTTTTTTAAATTAGAAATATTGATTTGGATGTTCATTATTTTCATGCTAGCACAAAACTAAGACTGGGCCAGAAAAAATAAGCTAATTGAAAGGGAACTTAAGTGCTAATTATAGTAGCCAATTATTCTATTTATTCTAACAATCAACTGCAAGGGAATAGGATGAAGAAATGTGAGGCTTTTTAGAAAGGGGCTTAAGATGATGCTTCTCAGCCTTTGTTTCCGTATCTGGTGAGATTACAAACTTCTCATCTCTGTTCCTGATTGCATTGTTCTAAGGGCAGATAGCTAGAAAAACTCAGTTGGAGAGGGGGCAGCAAAGTTCAAAACCACTAATTTAAAGATTTTAGTTAATATATTGGATTGGATTCCATTGGTTTGCCATGGAGTGCTTGTTTGTTCATTTGTTTTACAATGTCAGGTAACTATAATGGGTAACCAGAGTGACTGAGAAAGTCTAGGGTATCAGAAAGCTTAAAAAGAGTCAGTAGAGATACTATTTCGAAAATTCTATTCCTTCTCTGCTCCCACAGAGCATCACTAAAAGTACATAAGGAGCACAGAAAAATTTCTGTTTGAAGCACAGAAAATGAGAGTTCCTTTCTACTCATCCAAGGCAAATAGCACATTCAGTTCTGGGACTTTTTTAAGAGGCACATGAAGCAGTTGAATTCTTTTGGCATGTTAAAAGACAATACCCTTATGTATGACACACAAACAGAAAATGCATAACATTTTAAAGGAATTGAGAGAAGAAAGGGAGGAAGAGGAGACCATAAGTTATACAATATTAATTTGGTGAAAGATATGTTAAGCTTTTCACCACAAATAATTTTTAAAGATGTGAGATGATGCATATGTTTATGAAATTAATGGAGCCACACCACAATGTTGTGTATAGCATCCTTTTGTACATGATAAATGTTATGATTTTTATTTTCTATTATCGAAGTAAATTTTAAAATGAAATTCTGCCGTATCTTAAGTGGGATCTTGGGAGCATTCCTATTTATTTGCACCTTTTGACCTTGAAATTCCCAGATTGCTATATACATGATCAGATTCATATTGCTATATACATGATCAGATATATAAGATCAGATTCATATGTTGGCCTCCCCTTGCTAACCAGCAGCAATAATAACCCAATGCTTTGAGCAGAGGAGGGCCTTGACCAATGCTTCTTGAATATGTACATGTTGACTCTATGTTTATGTGCTTAGCAGTAGACTAGAGGTTATGTCTGAAAAGCAATGTACAGATAAGCATTTGTACCAATTCGCAGTTATTTTTAGCCTTATCCAAATATACAGTTGTTGAGCCAAAAATTGTGACTTTTTTTTGCTTCAACTTAAAGTAATTTCTTATTTACCTTGTCATCTACCTAGAGCCACACTTTGTGAGCCATCCTCCATGTCATCACACCTTCCAGAGCACACCATCTTCATATCTATGCCTCTTTCTCCTTTCCCATCCACATTCTCTTTAAAGACTCACCAAGTGTTCAATCCCAGTGACTGCATCTGGGCCTGGTTATTCATTTCACTCCAGCCATCCCAGCTATCCACTGATCACCATAGCTAATCAGATGGCATGCCAGCCTGCACCAATCATTAAGATGACCCAAATTAACAGCCTGGCTGTGTCACAGTACATTCATTCCACACACAGAGACATGGCCTAAGTATGAGGCAAAAACCCGGATGTGCTTATTTGTGTTTGCTTTGTTATATGCATTATTGATAGTCATGATCTGCTTTAGCACTTTAACTGTGCAAATGAGAATCATCTGTCAATTATTCCAGTCAGAATTGAGATCTGAGGGCAAAAGGGAAAGAGTATTTGCCTTTTTTCCACCAGCATGTCCTTTCATTGGATATTTTCCTCAGTTATGTCGAAGTTCAAAACATTCCTCAGCCCTTTGCTGAGATGGAACATTTAATCTAATTACCTTCATATTCTGGAAAGAGAAACAAGGCTTCCCTAGCCAGGTGATGACATTAGTTCAGGCTCAGAAGTAGTCATTCACCGTGGGAATTTTAAATATTCTTGTGGATACTAGTTAGCAGAGCCCAATTCTTAATAAAACAGAGCCAGCCTTAATCACAGTTACGATCTGTGGCACCTTACATTGCCTGGAATAAATTTTATCCCCAACATATTTGCATTCTTGATGGCCATTTTTCTACAATGCCTTCTAATAATGAGAGTGGTTCTAATACCCACTAAATCTTAGCATAAATTAACAATCTATTATGCACAATAAGTTTTGTAAAACACAGATAGAAATCATGTTTAATTAAAATTAACTTCTATATGAAAGCCAAATGCAGTAACGATTCACAGTGACCTTTTATTACCTGCAGTTCCTTGTTTGGGCTGTATGATTGACAGCTAGCTGTTTGGCTACCATGTTGAATTTCAGCTGACAAGACTTTTCATTTTAACTCAATTTGCCCGCCTATCACAAGCTGGTGGCAGGCCAGACCCAAGTCACCCAGCTTTGCCTTAGCAGCTTGCTCTAGTTCTCATTAGTACGCATTTATTCAGTGGAAATTGGAAGACAAATGCTTGAAGGCATGTGAACTAAGTATAGCAAATTAGGTTTAAAGACTGAATATTTATAAGTATATGGAAAGTTTTTTTTTAATTCTAGAGCAAATTGAGAACTGAGTGCTAGCTTTGGTATAAAAGAAATGAAGATAGAGGCGTGGGGGGAGGGAGATTCTAAGAATAACAATACTATAAGCTTTTTCTTTCCATTTTGGAAATATGCAAAAAATCTCTCTGACAACACCTTATCAAATAAAAAGGCTGGCTTCTCTTTCATGGAATGCTTGCACAATGGAGTTTAACACATCGTGTGTGAGAAGGGAGAAAAAATGAGGGTCATGTTCATTTGTTGCTTGGTTATCCCTTGGTATGTTTTAAATTGCCTTGTTTGTTCGGCACTAGCACAGAAACAGATGTTGCTCTACCGTGCAGGATAATTTACTGTACCTCCTGGTGCAGCATGGAAGTCCTCCCAGGACCCAGCTGGTCTGTCAGTGGCACTGGCTGGTGTCTGCTCAACTATGACAACTACAAGTAGAGGCTGCAATTTGTGTTATTTTTTTTTTATTGTGCAGTGTGTCATTCTTCACAACATATAGTTCTGCCCACAGTCATACTGGGGCTGGTGGAAAAGCTGCTGGCTTTTGTGTTGTATTCCAGAGCCCCATAAGCTCAACTCTCCATTGTTGATAATAATGCAACTCATTACTTTTGTCACCTAATGATTATCGGCATGATTGCTCAGAGCAAGAGCCAACCCCGTCTTGCACACATAACTGGTACTGGAAGGTAAAACAGATTTGTCACTTACGATCTGACTGCTGAGCCACACTTTGAGTTCCATTATTGTGATTAACTTCTGCATAAGATATGCTTGCCCAATTGTCATTTGTGATACTGCAGTGGGCACAAGCTGCCATGCTTCCCGAGAGCACACTGGCCAATCAGATGTGACTATGTTATTTGGATTGTTAAATGCCTGCCCTGTCACAGTAGCCACCTACCATTATTTTGGTTTTGCATTTTCTTCTTCCCACACCCCTACTGGACTTGTTGGGTGAACAGCACTGCTACATATGTCAGCTACCATTTCACACCACAAGCTAAAATGATGCTATCCTTTGTTGGTCCAACAGAGCCAGCAGCAGTACATGGAAAGGCAACCGTTGCTTTTCACCATAGAAATGTTGGTCGTTGGTGTCCTGCCAGTTGAAATCTGTCGTGTCAGGTGCCTTGTGGCTATCTGCTGTAGAGTCTATGTTCCAAAACCAAAGTTCTTATCTGGCCTCATCACCAGCAAACCGATTTGACTCTGCCTGATTATAATAACGAAGGCAGTCCAAGAGAATATGCACAGTCTCACTGTACGTCACATTGAATCACCCTGCTGCCTACCCAGAGCTGACCGCAGCCTCATTTCTTTAGACAAATGCATGCTTAAGGAAAAAAAAAAAACTCCTGGGAGAAGACACCCAAAGCTACTCTTATCCCCATGCAAGCTACATATAGATTTAAATTTCATGGAAGTAATAGCTGTTTTTATTTTTGATGGATGCAAGTCCTCAAGAGGAGCCTGCCTTTAATAACCTAATAATTAAATACTCAGTGTGTCAGAATTCTCCTGAACACCGGTTCTGTGTGTGTGTATATGAGTGTGTGTGTGTGTGTGTGTGTATTCTAAATTGTAAGTCATAAACAGAGCCATTTGTTATAATGTGAAGGGCCGGGGGGAACCTCCATTTGGAGTTCCTTCCACATTGCTGATTAGAAAGACTCAAGCTTTACATTCTAGGGCCCATTTGCGGTGGTGGAAACATAGTCACTTTTGATTATGAAGGGAGAGATGCAGACCTAGACAGGAGTTCCACACTGATATGCATGCTATCAGAATGATTTATGCAAATTATGCATATTATTCCCAAAGGAATTCCTCCTCAAACTGCCAGGATAAATTGCCGGAAATTAGCCATAAAATCTGTCGTGCTAGGAGCAAAAGGTGAAGGCCACTGGGAAAGCAAGGACATTCAGCTTCTGGAATCTTCCAGGGAATGATGGTGGCAGATGCTAAGGAAAATGTGGTTTTCTTTTGTATCCTATTAAAAAGTATTTTCCTTTTGAAATTTTTCCAGCAAATGCTGACTCACGCTTTATTTACAGCTAGCATGAAAGAAATTGTCAAGCTGTCTCAGAATGCACAACTACAGTTATTTTACTATTAACTACCTCAGTGGTTATTAAGTGGAAAAATTGGCTCGAAAGGCATTGCTGTTCTCTAGGTTGGTGAGATATTTCACCTTAGTGTACTCTCAGTAGGATGTAGTTTATGTATAATATGAATATGCTAACATGGCATTCTTTCCTATAGGCCATCCCCCCTTACAAAAATCATGATCAATGGCTTTCTGACCCAAGACAATATGGCTACCTCCCACCTGTCAAATGAACCCTAGCTGTTTGGGGGTGTACCCCCTTACCCTTAACTGTCACCATTGGCTTCTTTGTGAAGTACAATGGATGTGATAAAGACATTGTTTCCTCTTTAATCAAGTCTATTGGTAATGAACTTTAGTGCTCCACTGAGAATACTTCTCAGTCATAGTTATAGTTCAGTAAGCTATTATTTATTTCCTTCAGAAAGCATCATTTTTGAGGTCTTTCGACTATGTTCACATTCTGGCGCATTTCGTATTGTTGAAGAGGATTTGATTATCAGTTCTGACACCAGTGACTGCCGTCTGCGGAAGGGAGAATTGATAGCCATTTTTCCTCCAATGCTACATAATGACCCTGAAGTTTTTGAAGCTCCAGAGGTAAGTAAGCATCAAGCTGGTCACTGCTACTTCTTAGGCTATGCAAACGTGCATCCTCTTTCATTTATTCTGTCTGTCTGTCTGTCTGTCTGTGACTCCCTCTTTCTCTCTTTCTCTCTCTACATTGATACAGGCAGAATTTGAGCTGGTTTCTTGTTTTTTACTTCCTTCTGATGGGAAAGTTTGCCTTTTTTAAACTAAGGCTCTATCCTAAGGATCTATCTCCGAAAGATAGTGTAATCTATAAAAAGACAAGACTCCAGATGAAATGGGCATTGTACCTTAGCCATCAGTAAGTTTTGACCCAAATTAGGTACTGTTGGTAGAGAATTAAAAACCACAGTAGGTTAACTACTGACAGGCTGGATAGAAAATAAATAACACTCAACTACTGTATTTTGCAGAATATTTCCAAAACAGAGTTGACTCAATTAACATCATCACTGTAGATAAACCCAAACACAGGTTTTTTTTGAAAACCAGTGGTAGGTGCCCCAGCTAGATCCATTATGAACTTGAGGCTGTAAAGCTGCGGCTCATAGGTGAAGCTCGGGGGGTAATTGTATCATCTTCTTGTATGTTTTTTCTGAAGCTCGAGTTGATGAACATCAAAGTCTAGAAATTAATCCACCTTGGTTCATCCCTTAACACCACTTCAGAGATCACCACACGCATACAAATTGAGGGAAGCCACATTCTGCCTGTGCTTCTCACAAAGTACAGTGGCTGCTACAGTCGTCGTCTTTGCATACATACTGACTTTTTTCCAGAAGGAAACTTCTGTGATCCTTTTTGAGCATTTCAAGGCTGGGCTACTTTAAACTTGGTTTCTAAGATAGATGTTTTGCAACCCAGCTGAATTTGGCAACTAAGTAGGAAGAGACTAGACTTCAAATACAATAGCATAATTTGCATATATTTAATCAACAAAGCAAATATTCTAAGAGTAGGGGAGTATGTATATGGTTTCTATGCCTTTCAGCAGAAGCATTATCTAATAATGACAGCAATAGGATATAGATTGTTAGCAACATTATTGTTGAATGTTCTGCAGACAAGATTTCTCTTTACATTTACAATTTCAAAAAGTTTCAATCTAAAGCAAATAAACAGTTTATATATGAAAAGCTATTAAGTTTTAAAATAGTTTCATTTATAACTGTAATTTTCCATCAGACTCCACTTTTACTTAGTCTTTTCATTGTAATTATTTCTAGTCATTTCATGGTAATTAAACCAACATTCAGGTTATCCACAAAGCTCCACGTATGTTTATCACGTCATCCTATCTTTATGGAACTGCTTCTGTGTTCATCCTATTTCTCACCCCTCTATATCCCCATAATAAGTAAAAGAAAAAATCAACTTGATTTAGAAGTTAAGGAAAATTTTAAGTTAAAAATTGTAAACATTTTTCCCAGGCACTGGGGGCTTATGCATGGAATTCTAGCTACTCAGGAGGCTGAAATCTGAGTATTACAATCCAAGTCAACACTGGCAGGAAAGTCCCTGAAACTCTTATCTCTAATTAATTACCACAGAAAACAGGAAGTGGAGCTGTGGCTCAAAGTGGTAAAGTGCTAGTTTTGAGTAGAAAGGCTCAGAGACAACACTCAGGCCCTGAGTTCAAGCCCTACAACAAAACACACCACACTTTCTCACATACACACACACACGCACACACACACACACACACACACACCACAACAAAAACAAAAACATTGTAAACATTTTCATTTATGTCACCTCCCCCCCCACCATGGCAAATTTACTAAGTGACAATACCCAAATATTGCATAATAAACTGACTAATCTTAATAGTAATAAGAAGCATTTACCTCTAACTCTCAGAAGAGAAAAATTTGTAGTATTGTGAATACTGATTTAGCCTCATTAGGGTAGCTCTTAGGTTGCTAAACACTCTCTATTATGTCCTAGATTTTATATTAACAATTATGCTGTACTAATGCTAGAATAAGCTAGCTAAATTTTTGTCACAGCATTGTTTCCTTGAAATTCAGTGTGCAATGTTGATAATTCCTAGCACAGAGGACACGACACAATTTGGAGTCATAGATATATGACGTGGCCTGCTCTGATTATTCATTCTGTGAAAATAGTGACTAATCACATACGAGTTGATCATGGATTTCTTTTATCATTTTTTTTGGTTGGCAGTGATGCAGTAGATATTCACTTAATAGATGCCCCATCACCAAAACATCATGTACTGATAGTAAAGAAGATAAGAAAATTCTAGAAAATCCTATCCTATGCCATGTGTCATTGGGAACACTAACCCAAATGTGCATCAGAGCCTTGTGTTCCTGACTATTACCCTATAGACTTTGAATGGATTGATAAGGCCTGGGATGTAGCTATTTGGGCAAAACTATGTGAAAGACTAACTCAGAATGCAGTCATAGATGCTCTTGAAAGACATAGAGCTGAAGAGCCTTAGCAGAACATAGTTTCTTTCAACCTCATGAGGCATGTCTTCTGAATGTCAGAGCTCTAATGAACTCTAGACTATTGCACTCCACCACAGCTTATGATTTTCCTTCATACTTCATGGCTTTGGCACATGCATCTCTATTCCTGAAATGATTTTATTTTTTGCTCAGTCAGTTCCAAATTATTCCTCCAAAATCACCCTTAATCATCTCTTATTTGATGGTATCCCTGAATCTCACCCTATTCCTGGGTAATTGCCGCTGCCCACGCTGTCACCTGCACATACACTGTGGTGGTGCATCCTTGTTTCAATGTCCTCCACACAAGACAGGACGCTATCCAACAAAGGTGATCGAATCAGGGACTGAAAGTGCAATACAATGTGGTTAAAGCTTTAAATCAGGACAGATAATACTCAAATAGGGACTGGATATAAAATGGCCACATAAAGCAATGGGTCATCTATGAATACAATAATACTATTGAGGTAGTATGAATTACAGTAAAAAGAGACTCCAGGAGGCATTTAAGTTCAATAGATACTTTCTGAGCTGGCCAATAATCTTAGTTACTCAGGAAACTAAGATCTGGAGGATCATGGTTTCAAGTCAGCCTTGGTAGAAAAGTTTGCTAGATTCCATCTTCAAAATAACAAGCAAAAAGTTGGACTGGAGGCATGGCCCAAGTGGTACAGTACCAGTCTTGCTAGGTATGAAGCTCTGATTTCAAATCTCAGTATTACCAAAAAGAAAAATGTTTAAGATCTAATTTTCTCACAGGTTAACAACATGTTACTTCTGTATTAAAGATGATTCATTTTTGAATATTGATTGCTTAGCTTAATGTATATTCAGCATTCTTGTGGCTTTTGCCTATGTGTGACAACACACTGGCAAAGTGAAGTTTACAGTGAGTGAGAGCAAAGGAAACAGTCCCTCTTGATGCTGCTTTCTTCTCTGTCTAGAGCTTTACAAGCTTCTCCAGGCAGCACCACTAATCTATTCATTACCTAGTAGGGAATAAGTAGGGTTTTTATTTTTTTTCTGAGGTCTTCTTCAGACTTACCTCTTTTATTGTCCAGAAATCATGCAAATGATTATCAAATAATCAGAAGTGAATGACGATTTCTTTTCTGCCAAAATGCAGTGAACTGGAGCTATGGAGACCAAACTTGGTCACTTTTCTAGGTCTAGAAGGGCTAAGAAATAAAGTAAGTCCTGGTTACATTATTGGACTATAGAAAATAGAGAGCCACCATTAAGGTGACAATGTGTTATCACTGTGCTACCACCTCATGTAAAGAACACAGCCATTCACACGCTGGTGGCTTACACCTGTAATCCTAGATATGCAAGAGATTTGAGATCTGAGGATCATAGTTCAACACCTATTCAGCCACAAATCTGTGAGAATCTTATCTCCAATTAAGAAGCAAAAAGGTGGAAGTGGAGCTGTGACTCAAGTTATAAAGTGCCAGCCTTGAATGAAAACGCAAAGTGAGTGTGTGAAGCCTTTGTTCAAGTCTTAGTACTGGCACTGAGAGGGGGGGAGAGAGAGAGGAAGAGAGGGAGAGAGGGAGAGAGGGAGAGAAGGAGAGAGGGAGAGAGGGAAAGCGAGAAGGAGAGGGAGAAAGAGAGAGAGAGGGAGAAGGAGAGGGAGAGGGAGAGAGAACAATCTTTGAAGTATTCCCCCACATGCTCTATAGTTAAAGGTCTTGATAATTGGAGGAAGTTCTGCCCTAGCTAGCTACTCTTCAGAGTTAGGACATAATAGAATAGAGTTAGGACATAATGATAAATGAATGTAAAAGGCCTTTTAAAAAAGTCTTAAAACTTACTAGAATAATCAGCCTATTGATGTTGATTATTATCATTATTCTTGGAATAGACTAATTATATCCAAATAAACTTGCTTAGATCTCAAATTGGAATAAAGATGTTCATCAGTCGACTTTGAAGAAGGAAATATGCTTGGAGCTTCTACTAAATCCAAGGCACTGTAAGAGACATGATGGATACACGGGAATAAAAAGTACCTTGACTTAAAGGCCTACATTATAGCGACTAGGACTTCTGTCTTCTTATAACCAGATTCTTCATGTGAAAAGGTTTAAGCCATAATATGTTGATACCACATACTAACATACTGAAACCAGAGATAGGTGTCTTTCCACTTTCATGACATCCATACCATCATCCTTGGTGAATTAATGTTACTGAATGGGATGCCCTTGAACATAGAGTTGAGAAGAAGTGCACACAATTCCTCACAAGCTTCCACTAGCTGGCTACAACTCACAACTGATCTGACCCCTAGTCATGGAGATAGGGAGGGAATTCTGTACTTTGCCATCTGGCTGTCAAAAAGGACTTTGAGCCAGATCCAACAGTGCAGCTCCTTAGTCATCCCTTCAAAACACTGGCAGATTTTGTCTATTATTAGGGAATCATAGAGTCAGATCTTTGTCTCATTTGGTTTCCTACAATCAGATTATGAATCGAGTGTATGACATAACATTCATATAGTATACCAGAACCAGGTTTTATTGCCATGCCGGAAGTGCTAAAAAAAGCCATATTGAACTGAACTAAACATAGTATTTGAAAAACATGAGTTAGGATCTTATGCAATCATCTTCTGTCATATATATTAAACGTATTCTCTATCCCCCAAATGGTCTTCGTATCTAATCTTAATTTTAAGTCTTCAATATTGTACCGTTGCTACTGTTTAGAAGTAATGAATATTTGATTACTTCTCATTCTCTACATGTTTATTTTCTCATTCAATATGTTTTCTTCAAGAGTTTAACTATTGTTTTTTGTTCTTTGGGCTTATTTTGTGTTTGTTTCTTTGATGGTTTGTTTCAGCAGTACTGGAAATTGAACTCTGGGCCTCAATCTTGTTAGGCAAATGATTTAACCACTTGAGCCATGTCTGCAACTATAACTATCACTTAAAAATACACTTTTTCCTCTTGCATAAACATACTCTTGTGTGTTTATACTCAACAGAGTATATGAATAAAATACAATGGACAGTCTAACAAGTTCCAAATTCTCCTGTAAATTTTATTCAACAAACAATTGTATTTCTTCTTTCCACCATGAAGTGAAGCAGTACAAGTTCCTTATGAGCACTGTATCTTGGGCATCTCAGAGTCCAGAATCCTGAGCCAAAACAAACCCCTTTTCTTTATAATTTTCCCAGTATCAAGTATTTTGTGATAGCCACAGAAAATTAAATCGCTAGGAAAGAAATAGAAAGACAGAAAAGAAGTCACTTAGGTGTTTAGATATTACTTGTATATGGAGAAATCATTTCCTGGTAGCATTTGATGGTTTGTTAGTTTTCTAAGTTCACATGTGTTATACATATAATCAATTTTCGTTTCTCTGATGCTTTTGAAAACAGGAAGGGAGACCTGGCAACTTGTTAGATCTGAACTCAAACTATTCACATAAAACTTTGTGTGTTAGGGGTGAGGGGGGCGGTTATGTACTGGGGCTTGAACTCAGGGCCTGGATATTCTCTCTTACCTTTATAGTCAAAGCTGGCATTCTACCACCTGAGTTATGCCTTCATTTCTGACTTTTTGCTGGTTAATTGAAGATAAAGATCTGCAGACCTTCTTGTCCAGGCTGGCTTTGAACCCTTTGCCATTCTCAGATCTCTGCCTACAGAGTAGTGAAGATTACAGGCATAAACCACTGGCCCTTGGCTTCAAGTAAAACTAACACTGTTTGTTCTTCTTTATAGGAATTTAGATTTGATCGCTTTGTTGACGGTGGTAAGAAGAAAACTACCTTTTTCAAAAGAGGGAAGAAGCTGAAATTCTACATAATGCCTTTTGGGTTTGGAGCCAACAAATGTCCAGGCCGATTTCTAGCCATTGCTGAAATAAAGCTTCTGTTGTTTTTATTTTTAACATATTTTGATTTTGAAATACTTGACAACCAACCTCTAAGACAAAACCACAGCCGTTTGTTGTTAGGTATTCAATATCCAGAATCTGATGTTTCCTTTAGGTATAAGGCAAAAGTTTAGAGAAACAGAAAGAGGGAAATGAAATCTGCAGGAATGAGCCTGTCATAAACTTGCTTATCTGTTGTTCATTTCTCCAAATGTTATTGCTGTGCATATTTGTTTTAGAAGTGCCAATTTATATTTTATCTGAGGTCAGTCCTATTTTGTACATGGTCACAAAACTTAAAGCAGTATGGTGGCATTAAAATGATCCTCAGAATCACCTTGAAGTTCAAAATAGCTTTTGAAAGCTTCCACTTAGTGTGATTTTTCACTTGGTTTAATAAGTGCAACTTCTCAGCCATAAATTTGGCAATGGGAGAATTTTAAGTCACTCAAATTCTTCTCTAATATGTAAAAGTACATTTTATGTACCACTGGGGGAAAAATGTGTTAGAAATGGACCTAGACTAACAAGTTCTAAATTCTCAAAGATGGAAATTAAGTTTCTGTGAGCTACACTATATGAAAATGTTCTCTTCAACTATAATATCAATAATATCTATATTGCTGGGGCACGTTTGCATTAAATGAGTTTTGCAGCAGATTAAATGTTTTGACTTCACTTCCACATTTAATCATCCATAAATGTTTTTTATTACTTTGTATACTGTGGCTCAATAGAACAAAATTTCTTGTTATATAAGACCTCTCATGTTCATGTTAGATGCTGATAAGATTTAGTGTATAAGAAAACACCAATTCTGCCATTGCCTTAGACATTAGGATTAGGTTTATTACAGGACCAAATGTTGAAATCATTTCAGCATTCACTGTAGCATTTGGCTTTAGTATAAACTGTAAGAGGTATGTCAGTATTGCAATAAACACTGTCCTAAATGTTTCCATTTATAAAACCTGGGACACTAGATAACAGTGTTTGTTCTTTTCATCTTACCTTTTACACTTGGAATTCATTTGCATTATTTTGGAGTATGGCATTATGTAATACAATATAATTTCATATGATACAGTGAAGCACTTTGAGTCCAATTTCTTTTTTCTTTTGCCTATCCTGGGGCTTGAACTCAGTGCTTGGTGCCTTCCCTGAGCCTCTCTGTGCTCAAGTGCTAACTCTCTACCACTTGAGACACTACACTGTTTTTCTGAGTAGTTTATTGGAAATAAGAGTCTCATAGACTTTTCTGTCCAGGCTGAGTTCTAACTGCAATCATCAGATCTCCACCTCCTGAGTAGCTAGGATTATAGCCCTATGCCACCAGCACCTGGCTAAAGATCTGTAATATTGGCTTACTAAGCCAATTTGACAGTGTAAAAAAAGATACAGTATATAAAGAGACACAGCAAGTAATTAACCCAGTTAGTTCCTGCTGCGTTGACTGGAAACTCTAATAATTCAGAAATTTGCTTTAAAAACAAGAAATGAATTTTAAATTACTAAATGCTTCTCCTATAGTATTTAGTAATTAAATAAGGCAGTCTAGCATTATTTTCTCCTCCCTGAAGTACATGCTCTGAGCATTGAGCTAGTCCACATGTATGTATACTGGTATTTTGGTTTTACCTGATTGAGAAGGTCTTTATCTTCTCTCTCTTTTTATTGCAAAGACACCATTTCTAATTGAATAAGTTTACAGGGTACAAAGTGATGGTATGACTTGTGAATACAATGTGAAATCCTAAAATAAAGTCAGATAACATATCCATCACCTCAAATTCTTAACTCTTTAATTCAACATGTCAAGTTATGAGTACAAAGCATTTCCATCAATGATACCCCTTTCATGTTCTCCCCCATTGGTCCCATCCAGTCAAGTTACCTGTTCCATTTTTACATATATATGTTGAATGCTATGACTGTATTCACCCACTCTTCCTCTCTCCATTCATCTGCTCTCCTATTCCTTGAGCAACCTCCCTTCTGATAATACATGTTTCAGCTTCCTGGTATTCATTTTGTTGAACTATAAGTTAGTAGCTTGAAACAGATCTGACATTGAAATCCTACCCTGTATGTACCATACTTGAGTCAACATGTTTATATATATATAATATATACCTATATATGCATATGATACTATGTTTTCACATTTATAATTTAAGTCTAAGAGCATTTGAAATGTGTTCTCTTAGCAATTTTAAAGCATATAGCTCTATTATTAATCTTATTCACTGCAACAGAACTCAGAGAGAAAGGAAAGAAAGAAAAAAAGAGTCTTCCTGATTGAGATTTTGTATTCTTTGACTCATCATCCTATTCTCATGCTCTTCTACTTCTGCAAGCACCATCTTACTCCCTGCTTCTACAAATTTAAATATTTTACATTCATACATAAGCAGGAATATGTGGTATTTGTCTTTCTGTGCCAGGCTTTTTTTCTTAATTTTGGATAATGTTCTCCAATCACATCTAATGTCTCAAACATTAGAATTTCCCTTCGGGTGTGGCTAGTATTCCATTGTAGCTCTACTGCATATTGAATTCAGATATTCCTCTGTTGGACACTGAGGCTGATTCCATAACTTGGCTAATGTAAAACAGTGTTGCAATGAACATGGAGTACAAACATTTCTTTTACCAAGTGATTTCCAGGCTGTTGGGTAAGTACCAGAAGTTGGATAGGTGCCTGTACAAGTCTGGGTTGATAGTTACTTCTTCGTAGCATATGGAAGATACTGCATATTCTTCATGTTTCCCTTCATGTTATTGATGGGTTAGATGTTAGTCAATTTAATTGTCCAGTCTGCTTCTTCTCTCTTACTCCTTTAACATGTTCTGTTCATTTTTAAAATCCTTAGTTTCTTTTTGCCATATATATACATGTCACATAATGATTCTGGATTCTGAGAAGGACATCTTTTGAGTATGGAATATTGGCATCCATTCTCCCTGAACATTACCTGACTCTGCCCCTATATTATATATCATCGTGGGCGTCAATTGTATGATCTTTTCTTACTGTGTTTTCTGTTTCTAACTTATATCAAAGGTAATTTGTTTAGTTTATTTCCGTTTCTTTTGTGTATAAGGTACCTAACCTGTTTTTTGACTCAATACTGAATTTGTTTCTTCTTTTCTTTCTTAAACTTTAGTTTGGCTTGGGAGCTGGGTAATTCTACTTCTTGTTCTCTTCAGTTCATGGCATACAATTATAGTTGGTCTAAGCAAGGTCCCTTGGCTTACTTTTTATTTCTTCTCTAAAACTTAACATCATAGCCCTTACTATCAAGCAATGTAAAGTGTTTGATATGTGATATTTGTATGCATATATATCTATATAATCATCTTGGCATCATTTGTTTTTAACTTTCATAAATATATTCTCTACAAAGCATAGCCTTTCTGTTTTTTATGAAGCTTTCTGTTTTAAAAATATACATCCAAGCCAGGTGCCAGTGGTTCACATCTGTCATCCTAGCTACTCAGGAGGCTGAGATATAAGGATTATGGCTCAAAGCCAGCCTGATCAGGAAGGTCTGTAAGACTTTTATCTCCACTAACCTACCCAAAAAGCCAGAAGTGGAGCTGCGTCCATCCCTGAGTTCAAACCTCAGGACTAGCACCAAAAAAATAGGTAGATGATAGATAGATAGATAGAAAGATAGATAGATAGATAGAATAGATATCCAAAATGTTCCATGAGTATTTGCTCTTTACTCCTAAATGAAGCACAGTATTCCATAATATGCAGTCACCACATTTCACTGTTGTGCTTACCCCGTAATGGAGCCATGTGAGTGGGACAGTTGATTGGGGGATTGGAGGTAGGGACAAAGCAAAACTTTTGAAACAACCTCTCATTCTCCCATGAAAGTGGCCAGCACTCCTACACGTCTATAAACTTTGTCTCCATCTACATCTGTTTCACACATTTAGTTCATGACAGGCTTCATTTTCCCTGAGACATTATGAGTTTGTTAGTTTCCTTCTTCAGAGCTATCCAATCTACTTCTTTTTATGTAATCTCTGATAGTCAGTTTTCAGACAAGATGTCTCCAACTTGTCAGCTTCCAAATTTTCCATTTCATGGAGTTTCTGAAGTTCAGTGATTGCTTTCTGTTGTTTGAGAATTTCTTTCAGTTCTTCATTTCCACTTAGTCATTTTTTAGAACATCTTGTTCCTTCAGCATACACACAATATTATCTTTCATTTCTTTAGCAAACTAAGCAAACATACTTTATATCATGTGGATCTGATTCCATAATTTATTTTTTTCATTTAGCTTCTACTTGCTATGGCTTGATTACTAAGCCCTGTTCCTTGGAATTTTGTCTCAGGAAAAATTTTAAGATCTGGGTTTAAAATTCATCCCTCCAGAGAGAATTTGTATTCATTTTTGTCTGACTGCTAATCTCATTATCAAACTCAGATTACTTGAAATGCTGGGTTTGGGTACTTAGGAGCAAAAGGGACACTACTTGCATATTATGGGTTTTAGCTCTAAAGTAAGTGGAATTCAGCCCCAGAATTAGGAATAGACAGAAATGGCTGTTCCTTTATTTGTTAGTTTCTTGTAGATACAAGGCCAAGATAGGCAACTTTACCTACAGCCTGACTCTGTGGAGCAAAGTTTCTTTTCATTTTACCCACCAAATATGTTGGCTTTACAAATTATTGACTTCATGCAGAGTTCTTGATTCTCTCTCTCTCTTTCTGTTTCTGTCTCTCTCTTCTCCCTTTCTTCAATTCTGTTTCTGTGTGTGTCTCTTTTTGTTTCTGCGTATGTGTCTTTCTCTCACACACATGCCCATGTGTGAGTGCACACACACACAGACACATACACATACACTCATACACACACACACACACACACATACATACACACACACCACTTGTGTCCATCCTGAAGTCTAGGCTTTATCTCCTATTGCACAACATAGTGCATTCGCTTTTCATTTTGTACTAGGATTTCACCATGCCATATTGCTGGAGGTAGTAATTGCCATATTCTTTCATTCAACTTAGTAGCATAGTTTACTGTTGTTGCAACAGAGAAGACACTGGAAATTATCGTATTTTAATTTCTGCTTAATGAATAACTCATAGGGTACTTTTATCTTCCTTATTTTGGTCCTTCTGGGATGTATTATTTTATCATTCAGTATTGGGTCATATGTCTAAGGCAGAGGAACTTCTATGCTCAGAATGTTCATGGTTACTTGTTCTTATTTTTTTGTAAAATGTGATTTGAGTTAATATTCCCTTTTAATAGCTTCTAACTTAACAGTAAAATCCCTTCAAAGACCAAGGCACAAAGGTTATCCAGGTCTTGATCTTAGTTTAAAAGAATGGCAACAGTTATATAAACAATAATTCCAGGTCCTTAAAATGGACACTTTAAATTAGTTAGTTTTGCAAATTTTTATTTTCTAGCACTGCATTATTAGGTATCATATTCACATACTCAATTATGAAAAAGTTAGCATGCCAAGTTTACATTTCCTGTAGGACTATTTTGAAATATAATGAGAGATCACATAAAATTTGTAGTCTTTATCAAAAGCAACCATTACTTCATAATGTTAATCTGTCAGTGATCATTGAGGTCTGCCTTTTTCAACTTAATGATTAATGTCTATGCTACTTTTTAGAGTAAGTTAATTTTAATTCATAAAAATTCAACTGTACAATGTAAAATAGGTAATGTCAATGATTATATTTTTAAAAATGTTTTAGACATAAAAATACTGTAAACTATAAAGTATTATTCTGGTATATTTGGTCATGATTTTTTTTATTTTTTAAATATGGGAATGTATAAGGAAGCAAATTATCTTTAACAGGTTAAATAAGAAGTTTGGGTATTTTGTGACTATAATCTTTAATGTTCTTTTATTTACAACAAAAATAAATAAATTAACTTTTAAGGCACAGGTCAGTATCTTTGTCTCATTTCCCTACTAAGAACATTGGGTGACAGAAGATTTGATTGCACATAGAAAATTATTTTCAAAATGATTTTCTATCTCTCACATCCCTATTCCTCCACTTCC